GATTTAAGATGAACTGCTTATGAATTCCATATTATTTGCCACAGACATTTGTACTAAACTCCAATGCTAAAGTCTATATTGTTTTCATCTTCATTTTACTATCCTTATTTTTCAAATTCACACTTTCCTTAGAAATAAACAAAGTAAGAACATGAAAAATATGTCTTGTCAAGATGCAATTGTAAGGTTTTTTTTTTTTAAATAATAGGTACTGTCAGACTACAGAAAGCAAAACCAATTATAGACCAACAGATTTTCTTAAGAGAAAAGATTGTATCAGATAACTATAAACAAAAAATGGGGCATTTCAACTACCCTAATATATTCGTATTTACACACAGATTACAGGTAATCTACACTAGTATATCGCAAAATGTGTTTTCTGGAATGTTCTTGTATTACACAAACACACACACACATACACGCACACACGCACACACACACACACATCCTCACATGATACTACCAGTGCAAATAAACTCTAGTAATAGTACATATGACTGCTCCTTGTTAAATGGTCACAATGTGCATCAATGTCCTGAACACTGAGAAGTTATGCTATAAGTCACAACCTACCATATTCAACTCATCATAGCCTATCATATTCAAGATTATTACAATGGTAATTCCTTTTTATGAATCCTCAAAAATCACATCTGACAAATGCGTGTCTGTATATTCTCATAACAGAAGTCAGGATTTTTCATCCCTAGGAATAAAATTTATTTTTCCCCACTGTTACAGTACTATGAAGAAATGGTAATGACCGTGTTACTATATATTGGAGTAAAAGTCAGTACAATTCAGTATCAATAAGAAATGGGAATACACTGAGATCTTTTCTATAACATAGAACTCTCACAAATTTCCTGTTTGTATATTAGCTGGCTCTACAGCAATAAGAACATGTTAAAAAAGCATATTAATTTTCACATAAAGCATATATAAGTTGATTTAAAATACTTTTTGTAATAGATTTTGTCAAAGGTTAATCTGGGTAAAGTGCATACTTGTAGGCATGTAGGTCTTCCATATGTGTATAAAAAATGTGTACTCACAAGATTAGAATAAATTTACTTCCCCCTAATGAGGATTTAAAAAAAAATTGTTTACAGAAATAAAAATAAGTCTATAACATGTAAAAGTTAGACCATGTTCACTACTAGTTTTTTGGAGTCTACATTTAAAAATGTATTAAGAAAAAATTAATATAAAAAGGAGCATAAGAAATATAGCTTTTAGTTAGTTATTAAAATATTTCTAGTGGAATAAAGTTGACACACAAAACTTGGACATGCAGGGGAAATACAACTTAATGTACACAGATAGGTGTCAGCACATTCCTTGACTAGAATGTGGTCATCTGCCACAAGGTCCACAAGCTCATGCACAAGATCAAGACGTTACGTACAGCTGAGATCACAACGTCATGCATATAACAACAGCGTGCTAGATAATCATACCACAAATTATGCAGATGTTCTCCCCCACCCCAAAAGCCACTGCCAGCAGCTTCTGTGGAGTTTGGTTACCCATATCCGTGACATGAACGGTGTCCTTTGGAGAATCTTGCTCCCTGTGGCTGTAAGTATTCTTATTTTTATAATATTCTAATGATGGTATTAAAATGTTAAGTACAAAACTAGAAATTATGGAAAAGTAGATTTGTTATACTAAACAACTGTAGACATCTTAGGCACCTGTTATAAATTTACCACTTACATTTGAACATACTACAAAAAGTAATTTATTGCTCAGAGTTAAATGAACCCCAAATAATATGCCTGATGACAGTGCTCTAGTGAATGTGGATGGGTAAGTAGGGAGTCAGTCCCTTCAAAGTAATCTGCTTTGCTGTAAAGTACTGAAGTGATGAGACACTAGCTTTGTCTTCTCACAAAATAGAACATCATGATTTTGAGTATTTGAGAGAAAATAATCAATGAAAAAAGTTTGTAGTGCTTGACATGCATGTATTAGCATGCACAAAATAAATGATTTATTCACCTTTAAAAAAGTACTCTGATTCCTAGCACTCAAAAACATCAGCAAAGAGTCTTCTAATGACTTTTTAAGCTATCTGTATGACTCATATAGCTAAGTTCCATACAAGAATATGGGCATAACTATTTCACTTGCATCATTTCAATTCTGAAAATTTGACTTGGATAAATAATCAAGTTGATATTAGTAATACTAGTGATGAAAGTAAAAAATACAGTCATTAGATTATTTCTCACTTCCCTGAATTTCTTAAATGTATTTTGGTGTCCTTTTCTGCCTATTTGTATCCTAAGTACATTTTGGTAAAGACAGAATTGTATTTTGTGATTAGGTAACACTTAAAATACTGATAATCATAAAAGCACAGAATCTAAGTTATGGAACCACAAGACACTCAGTGGTTCAACTCTATGGTTCTTCAAAACTCTCTTTGGCTTCAGAATTGTTAATTCAGTACTCTGGAATATTCCATAATATCTTTTTTGGAGCAAGGAATTAAAAAAAAAGGAAAATACAGCCAACTCTCAAAAATAATGGAAGGTAGGATGGGGTAAGTAAAATCTAATAATCTAAATATTGTATTTTTATTAATAATTTTGGTCCCCTCCCTTAATAAACATTAGATTTAAAAAATTTTTAAGATTCTGTCAGATTAAAAAAAATAAACTTGTACTTTACACCTTTTCTCTGCTTCTCCTGTAAATACTTTAGAGGAAGTGCTAACAAGAACTCTACAGTCTGATAAATGTAGTTGCAAAAAACAGAAAAAATTTTACACCTAGCTTTTTCCAATTTATGTCCTTAAAACTACCAACATTTCAGCATATGGGGCCTATTTTTTTTTTTCATCTTCTCATAAAAAGATGGCCTTATATATTTTTTTAAAATTAGTACTCTTTTACTAATGAATGACTACTTACCATAATCAATATCAATATCAATAGTTACATTAAATTTTTCTGACTTTGTAAATCTACAAATTATTACTTACCAAATTACATCTTCCTTACAATAAAATATTTATAAGTCATGTAAATCAAACTAAACAGTCTTATCCCTTTTCAGCCTCATTTGAGATGGGAGCAGTATGACCTGACAAATTGGGCACAGTAAGACTGGGATTTGCAAGAGCTGCCTGTCCTGATTCTTGTATACACTGCAGTAAAATGCTGTAATATTCTTCCTTAGTTCTTCTACACTAATCATTTAATTACCTTGTATTACTTCTAATAATGTTGATGTCTTATTATAAAGTTCACCATATCAACTGTTTTAACAACAATAATATCAAATTCCAATAAAGAATTTGGAATAAATAATGAAGTGTCTGAAGCCAGGGCATTCTCCAAATATATAAGTACAGCAGAATCTCTTATACTCTTAGAGAGCAGGTATGGCACAGTGAATGATCAGAAAGGTGGCATGCTTATGTTGCTGTGTTTACAAGGAAGACAACTTAGATTTGACCTCAAAGTAATATCAAGTGCATTTTATAATAGAAGACATCATAAAAATTATAATAAGGGGATAAATAACAAAACCAATTCATGCTAATTTATCTATTTGTTTGCCTTTCTAAAGAATAATCATTAGATTCCAAAAAGTAATGTTAGTTTCAAATGTACATCTACATTTTGAGGGAGATTGGTAGTGCATGCCTGTGCCCTCAGCAGTGAGAGGCTGAGGCAGGAGGATCCCTGCAAACTGGAGGCCAGCCTGGGCTACACAGTTAACTTGAATGTCAGCATGAAATGCAAAGCAGGATGCTGCGCAAAAAAAAAAAAAAAACACCTCACAGAAAAGTATAACTTAGACTTTAATTTCCAAAATATTCATTTTGCTTTAAGCAGTGGTGAGGGGAAGGAACGAACGTCTGAGTATTATATTAGTCTTCATAAAATATGTATCTGCTGCACTGGTGAGGATAAGAATGAAAAGGTGTCTCTGTGACAACAAATCACTGGAATGGAGTTTGATTTGCTTTTTTAATGTATGCATAAGTAAAATTTAACCAAGAAAGAAACCATATGTGACATGGGAAAATCTATTTGAAAACATGCTAATACAGGCATTATATACATATTGCATATTTTTAAAATCAATATTTCTGTTTATGATTAAAATATTTTACATGAAGGGAATACTTCCTAAGTTATAAGAAAAATTAAAAATATTGTAGAAAATATTTGGCTTGATGATTTAAATAATTCTTTACTTTTTTTTTCCTTTCTGGTGACTGTGCAGATTGAAGACAGGGCCTCACACATGCTAGGCAAGCACTTTCCCACTGAGCTACAGCTCGGCCCCAGCAGCCCTATCTACAAGAACAATGGACTCAGAATAGCACTTCTGAGCATTGCTTGCCTTAGATTTCAAAGAATAAATCTAGTAGACACATCAACATTTTTGAAAACCTGATGTATTAAAACTGGGCTAGGAAAAGTATTCAGTAAAAGAATTTTGCTCACATTTTGATCATTCATACATATTAATAAATAATAGGAAATTATTCAATCCTAATAGAGTCAATAGGTAGTTATATGAACAAAAATTATGTTGTTAAGGGATCATTTAAAGACAACATTTTGATGTTGAAAATTAGAAAATACTATGATTATACCTGATAAAAGTTAAAAGTACATCCCTACTAAACAGAAATAGTAAATAGGAGGAAAGCGCTAGACAAAATTTAAGCAGATATTCTGTATTCTCATTCAGAAAATTTTAGATTTTCTGCTAATACCTACCTCGGTCAAAACAGAAGAGGACTGTATATCTATCATATATGCTGCCACACAAAGTGAGCAGATAGACTCAACTAGGACATGGCAAAACAAAGAAAAATGACTATGAAAAGTAACTGAAAATACTGGGCTTCTCAGTGATTGGAAGGCATGTCCCATGACTTGTTACTCTACTTGCAAGCTGATTATACTAGCTGCAGCAAGATAGTAGTAAGAGTTCACCTGACACAAGTATGTTCAGTCATTACCTACCTCCTCTGGGTTGGCATTAAAGGTAAGGCTACCTTCATCCAGCTGCATATATAATTTTCTAAAGGAAAATCCTAGAGGTGGATTCTTATTGTATATGGAACAGTGACCCCAAGTGGATTTGCACAACCTAGACAGATAAGAGAAAATGAGATAAGTTACTGTATTTAATTTCCTAAATTAAACACACATGCACAGGATAAAATAATCAATTAAATAATGTAGAATTAGATTTTACAATTCTAAAAGCTGAAGACTGTAATTTTGTACATGTGTTATTTGTAAGTATATAATAAATGCCTTAAATTTAATAATTTTGATAAGACCTACAAATATGGGTTAGAAAGATAATATTTGTGAATATTATCTAAAATTAAACATAAACCACCTACATTAATAGTAATTACAGCTGACAATTACTAATGCTTACTTAAAATTTTAATTTTAATTGCACTAACTTGTTCAGTACTCTCAAGGATACTTTGATGCTGGTGCAACAGACAAGACAAACAGACCAAAATGTTTCCTACAGTCATACAGTTAGTACAGGCAGAGGCAGGGTTTGACCCCAGTGAGTCATCTTCCAGGCTTTGCAATTGTGACCAAGAAGCTAAATGGCACTGACTGAGTCACCTATGTCCTACTGTGAAATACAACTAATTGAGGAGGGAGAAAGAATGCTGGGCAGCGGAACAACCTCGTGCTTTTTAATAACATGTAATTTATTAACAGACGAATTAGACAGAATTTGTAATGCCTCAACTTCAGCACATACATCAAAAGAGGTGCTGTTAAATGTAGCTGTTTTTAAGATAGTGCTTCAAACATACTGGTTCTTTATTACCACACTATCACATTAATAACTGACTTTTAAAAAATTCTATAAAGCCTACAGTACTGTTTGTATCTCAAAGTACACTATTTTTTGAAGACTAGGATAATGGTTTCCAAGTCTGCTGCTCCAAGCACTGGGTATTATATTTGTACTGAAAGCAAAACTTTCACGGTATTACCATGTCTGGGTGGATACCTCAGATGCTCTGGGATACGCGCGCTTGCTCCAGACACAGAGAACACTGAAATGACACCCTGCTATGGTTCCCAACTTTAGAACAGGTTTGTATGATATTTTGCCTCAAAATTCACATAATTTTTACAGTTTTTCAAAACACCAATTACTTGATGAGATTAAAAACATAGTTTTGCCCTCTTCTGTTAGTTTTCGCCTCATATTTCTTGATTTGCACAGTGAGATAGAACACAGGAAAACCAGTAAAAGTATTGCCCCATTATATAACATCAAGAGTTGTGGGGATAAATGGATAAAATACCTAACCTGAGACTATCCTCTTAAGAGTTAATTTACAAAACTGCATTATTTTTGTTAACAAATGAAAACATTTCTCTAAAACTATAAGCTATTTAGAAAATTGTCAATAGCAATCTCTTTATTATCAACGTCTCTGAGTTTTATAATTGTGCTGTGTGACAGCAACACCCTACTAACATCAGTAAATATTTAGCATATTCAAAGTTAACCTGAAACTCAGCCAGCCTTATTTTTTTTTCAAATACAAGTAATTTAACATTAAAATAATCCAAGCATTATGACTATAGGCATGGTTATATGCCAAACTATAAGGAAAGCATTTTTTTCAGAGATAAACAATCTGTACTTAAACTCCAAATGAAAAACACATAATGACTGAGTTCTATAAGCTTAGAAATGGACTTTAAAAAATTCAAATATAGGAACACAAATTAACTTATGGGGCTACGACAATGTAGGAAAGAAATTACAAAGAATGAGCCAATTTTAAAGTATCCCAACTTCCTTTTATACTCAACTGAGTTAAAAAAAAATAGCTTATTTAAGTACTACTAATTAATGTAATTTTCTTTATGAACACAGTACCTTTACTACGACATGGTACTGAAGGAATAAAAACATGATGATTTTTGTGTATTTGGAAACTGATAAATAACTTATATAATTTTATACCTCAATTCTGTGGCAATAGGAAGTCTATATTAGACATGTCACAACAAAAAGTTTGATAATTTAGGTTATTTAATATTTTAATTATTATATTCCAAGTTAGAAATCACTGTCTTAAATAGGCTTCTTTTTCTAGATATGTTTCTTATCATTTTTCTTTTTAGTGTTTAGGTTTTTATTAGTACATGTTCATAGTACATACTGAATGATTACATTGTGAGGAGCTGGGACATGACACATCTTCACTCTTTTAATGCTTTCCCACCTTGGTATTCTTTGTCATACGAAGTCCCATGTTAAAGAGATTTAAATAAATTGTAAAGAATATCAGAAAATTTAATATACAATAATTTTTCTGTATTTGGTAACTTTATAAGACTTAAAAGAAAAAGATATGTACCTGTGAATTTTTTTCCAAATATATGATATTAAAGGAGTAATTTACATTCAATAAAATGTCTCTATTCCATCAAATGTTTTTAAATTTGTGGTTTAAACTGGTTTAATATTTGTGAAAATATCTATGATTTAAGTTCATCAAGTAGACATTTATAGCCTTACTTTCTAATTTTTGTCTACTTCATGATTGTGGTTCAAAAAAAAAAAAAAGTAGATGAAGTTTCCCCCAGTTAAAGTTCATGTTAGCAAGCACCTATGACAAAAAGAATGCTACACATCCTCCCTTTGCAACTCATGGGGACAGAGCCACCTGAGCCCTGCTTATTGGCGTGCGAGTGGTCTACGCTGCAGACGGAGGCCTGTGCCAACATAGGCACGCAGTACAAATTATACCAGGATGCCAAGGTTCTAAGATTTGGATTACAAATTCTTACTTCTGAACTTTGATTTTTCATATTCACTGGAAACTTGTGGTTAAAATAAACTGACATAGCCCTGACTGCAACCTCGCTTCTTACTGTAAGATTTCTCTTTTATTTCTTTCCTACTTTCTTTTCCCAGAATCAAATTGGACAATAATACCTGCAACTTTATTTTTGCAGGCCTTCATTAACAGCAACTCAGATTACAAGCCCACGTTAAAAAGCAATTTCATAATACATACATATGACAAAAGCACACTGAGTGTTAAGCTGCTTAGAGCGCTGCAAATCATGCTGGTGGGGTTCACTTACCCTTGCCAGAGAAGTTCGTCATTTGCAAGGTCCTGCCAAACGCATGAGGCCAAGCAAAGGTCAGTAGCGTTCAGGTAGGACAGGATGGTAAAGCTCAGCTCAGGAGGCAGCATCTCCAGGTTAATGAATCCTTCTTGCTCTTTGGATTTCCTTGCCTTCAAAAGGTGGTAGATGTCAATGCCTCCTTGCACTTGCCTGCGGTGACTGGTGGTGGTGACACTGCCCGCAGCCGCTCTTCTGCTCTGCTCCCTGGTGAGGTAGCCGGGCTCACTGTAGCCTTCCTGCTGCAGCTGCTGGTTTCTGGCCACTCTCCACAGCCCTTGACCCATCTGCAAGCCTGGAAGAGAGTGAGAACATAGTAAGGGTCACACTAAAAAAGTAAACCATCTTTCCCAGTGGTATAACAGGTCTGACAGAAAGAATTCATTTATCAGAATTTAAATTCTTCATGAAAACCTAGTAAAACCAGTAGTATATTACAAGGAATAGGTGGAATCCTTTAAGTATCAAATTTGGGCAGAAAAACATCTCTGCAATATTTGGTCTGATCATTGCCTGTAATTGAGCTTGCTAACCACTTCTAAAGGCAACACGTGACATAATCATTTGTTCACACAGTAAGATTTAAAAGGTACTGATATCCTAATGAGTCTTACAAATTATAATTTTGTGGACTTACGGGCCAGTATTAACTACCTCTCTGATCAGAGCACAGGAGTTTAGTTAAAAGGTCTCCAGACCCTGGTTTTTATCACAGTTCAGGCTAAGCTAAGCTAGCCCCTTTTAACCAAACTCCCAGATGTGTAACAGCTGTGAAACAGGCTTTTAGTTTAATTCTTGCCAGTCTACATTTATGTTGTAGACTGTAATAAAATGTAACATAGGCCCTGAAGTCTAATTCAGAAACCTTATAAATTAGACACCTAGAACTCCATGACAAATAGCTCAGTAAGAGCTAACTATTTGATTTTCTTGCTGCTTTAATCTAAAAACTGTAATTTGCACTAATTTTCCAGTCTTCCCCACACAGCCATATGGATGGCGTCCTCTGAGGCACTCAGCAAAAGGCGCAAGAAGGTGCTACAGTCCCCCTGCTTCGTGCCAGCTGCCACTAGAAGAGCGCGACATCGATCTGTTCTACATACTGGACTTCTCCACATACAGACGGTTAGAAAACAATTGACCTAGACTAACTTGATCTTACCTTTAAATTACATAGTTTTTATTAAGGGAATAAAATCATGAGGAAAAACTAAAGTAGGAAGAATTTTTAACTAACAGAAATTATTTTCATTATTTCCTTTCAAACAAAGCATTTGTTTTAGTAACCCAAATCGACTACGAATACATGTGGTGTTTCCAAATGTGGAAAAAGACTGATGTAATATAAAATCATTAAAACAGCCAAATAATTTTCATGGCATGACATGAACTTTAAAAGAAAAATAACAAAAAATGAAACAAATGAAAACCAACCAATCAAACAAAAATATACAAGTTATCAGAAATTTTGAAAATTCTTAGGAAAAACTTGAAAATTGAGAACTTCAAAGAATATTAAAGATATTATTTTCTTCATATTGAAAAAGGAATGAATCACATGAATATTTGCTAAATTGTTGGCTATCTAGATAAATGTCTCCTGTATTACTCCACAATACTTACTGTATAACAACTGACTATAGTTTAATTACTGTTAGTAGTATATATACTAAATATTAGCAAATATATACTGTACTAACTCATTTGATGATCAAAAAACAAAAAAACAGTTCAGGATATTTTTTTAACACCTCATCCTTACACTGAACTGCTTGAAAATACAATAGCTTAGCTGTAAAGAGTTCTTATGAGGAGATACAATGATTTTAAAGCATATTAAAGTATATAGCATATTTAAAATATATTAACATACACCTTAAAAGATCTCAGTAAAGTCTAAAACATACTCCAACACCATAGGTATATCATAAATTTGAGTGTTCTTTTTACTGCTTAAAGAAATATCTCAATAGACACCTCATCAAAAAATATAAAAATAGCAAGCATATGAGAAGAGGCTGGATATCACATGTCATAACAGACCTGCAAGCTAAGACAATGGGATCCTGCTGCACACCTGTGAGTATGGCATATTCAACGCACCTTCCAAATGCTGGTGAGAATGTAGCAATGCAAAATCACACAGCCACTTTGGAAGGCAGTCTGTAGTTTCTCACAAAGTTAAACACACTTCCACCATATAATCCAGCATTCCCACTTCTGGATATTTACCTAAATGTGAACTAGCCAGAGATGGTGGTACTCGTTTGTAATCTGGCACTCTGGGAGGCCAGGAGGGAGGAAGAGTACAATTTCAAGCCCACTCAGGGAAATTTAGTAAAATGTCTTAAAATTTAAAGGAAACTTTTAAAGGGCATACATAGCATGTAGCTCACTGCAAAGGCTCCTGGGTTGAATTCTTTTTTTTTTTTTTTTTTTTTACTGGGGATTGAACTCAGGCCCTTGCGCTTGCCAGGGAAGCACTTATCCAAGCTAGGTATTTCCCCCCTTCCCTCTTTCTGTGCTCCTTTCCCTCACCCTAGTTGTTCCTTCCCTTTGTTTTTTGGTTTTTTTTTTTT